TAATTATTAGGTTTTTTAGTTCCGGTTAGTACTGAAGTACTTTAGGGCTGTAAACGTACTTTACTGTCTTAATTTACGGCTAAATAAAGATATGCATTAGAAAAATATTACAAAATCCCAAAATTTCATGACTTAGTCATCATCATCGTCATCATCATCCAGTCTCTATTTATCACGTCCACTGCTGGACATAGGCCTCCCTTAAACTCCTCCATTCCTCACGATTTTGTGCTCTTTGTTGCCAATTTTTAGTGATATGCCTGATGTCGTCGGCCCAACGTGTAGGTGGTCTTCCTCTACTGCGTTTGTCTGCTCTTGGCCTCCAATTTGTAATTTTGCTCGTCCATCGTGAATCGTGCATTCTCGCTACATGGCCTGTCCAGTTCCATTTTAGTTCCGCTATGCGTTCCACAACATCAGTAATACTCGTCCTTTTTCGCAGATCTTCGTTTCTTATTCGGTCCCTCAACGTCACTCCCAGCATAGACCGTTCCATTCGTCTCTGTGCCACTCTCAGTTTCGAAGCCGTGGTCTTGGTTAAAGTCATAGTTTCCGCCCCATAGGTCATGACCGGTAATACGCATTGGTCAAACACTTTTCTTTTGAGGCTGATTGGTATATTGGCCCTAAGTGTGTCTCGCAGTTTTCCAAAGGCTGCCCATGTTAAAGTAATTCGTCTTTGGATCTAACATGTTTGGTTATCCCTGCTGATTCTTATTTCATGACCCAAATACGTATATTTCTCCACCAGTTCTACCACTTTGTCTTGAATAGTTAAATGGTTATTGGGGACCAAATTTGTCATAAACTTAGTTTTGGTCAAGTTCATTCTCAGGCCCACCTTCGAACATGCAAAATCCAATTCGTTTAACATATCTGTAGCTTCTCCTAAATTATCTGTGATAAGGACAATGCCATCTGCGAAACGGAGATGGTTAAGCTTTTCGCCGTCTATCGTTACTCCTCTGTGGTCCCAATTGATCATCTTAAAGGCATATTCTAATGCCGTTATGAATAATTTCGGCGACAATGTATCTCCTTGCCTTATTCCACGATATATTTTTATTGGTCGGGTTTTATTGTCTATTTTAACAGTCATAGTGGCATTTTTGTAAATATTATAAATAATCTCACTATACCTATGGTCAATGCTGCTGTCATTCATTGCTTCTATAAGGCTGTCTAATTCGATCGTGTCGAACGCTTTATGAAAATCTATGAAAGTGAGAACAAGAGGTTTGTTATATTCTATAGATTTTTCAATGAGTGTCTTTACTGTGTGGAGGTGATCATTGGTACCATAATTTGAGCGGAATCCTGCCTGCTCTCTCGGTTGGTAGAAATCTAATTTTTTCTCCAATCTTGATGTCACTACCCTAGTGAAGAGCTTGTATATGTGGTTCAACAGGCTAATAGGTCTATAATTTTCTAGGTCCGTTCTATCTCCTTTTTTATGCAAAAGGATGGTTGTAGCATTGTTCCACTCTTTGGGCACCTCTCTTTGCTGCAAACATAGATTGAATAGTTTCCTTAATTTATTTAATAGCATATCTCCTCCATTTACGATAGCTTCTATTACGATTCCATCCTCTCCTGGGGCTTTGTTATTTTTCATTTTTCTTAATGCTTGTCGAATCTCATCTAGCTTTATCTCTGGCATTAGTTCGGAACCTTGATTCTTGATCTTCTTTGAAATGGCTGTTTGTATTCCTGTTTTATCTTCTCGTCTACTTCTATATAAGTCCTCGTAAAACTCTTCGACGACCTGTATTAACTCGTCTTACGTGATATTATTTCATTTTGCTTGTTTCTTAATTTATGAATTTCGCATTTCCCATTCGTTAGCTTTCTACGTAGAACTTTTAGGCTGTTATTTTCCTCTATAGTGCGTTTAATATAATCGGTATTAAATTTCCTTAAATCTCTCCTAATTGCTTTCGAAACAGTTTTGTTCATTTTTCTTAAAGTGTTGCTATCTACATTCTTATCGCTTCTCATTTGTCTTCTTTGATCCAAGAGCGTTTCAGTATATGGACTTATTTTACTATCTGATTTTCTTTTAGGACAGTGCACTCGGTGACTTTCTTGTAAGGCGTTTATGATGCATTTATTCAAGTCGTTAATATCGTTAGCGGAGGTTTCCTGCAATAGAAGCTTATTATTGATATGTGTCTGATATTGGTTGATATCTAATGGGGGTGTCCAGATACCATGAAATTTTATTTTTAATCATTATATTCCTTTCTCTTTTTATATTGATTTGAACTTTCGCTCGTATCATCCTGTGGTCGCTGTTTGTGGTGAACTTGTTGAGTACTGTTACATGTTTAATTATTTGTTTTTGATCACTTATGATGTAGTCAATTTCGTTCCTTGTTTTACCGTTTGGACTTTCCCAAGTCCATCTTCTGTGCATCTTTTTGTGAAAGAAGCTGTTCATGTTGAATAAGTTATTCTGGAGTAGGAATCCTAGTAGTTTTTCTCCTCGATCATTTCTTCCTGGGGAACCGAATTGTCCTAAAGATGTTTCTAGATCTGCTTCTTTTACCCCTATTTTTGCGTTGAAATCGCCACATAAAATTGTGAATTGAGTACGAGAATTATCAAGCGCAGTGGATACATCGTCATAAAACATTTCAATTTCTTCGTCTGTATGGTCTGTTGTTGGAGCGTATATTTGGATAATTTTGAGTTGATACCTACTGTTCAGCTTCAGAATAAGATATGCCACTCTAGATGATATACTTTTGATGACTTAGTACACAAACTATAATCTCGGATATTGCGCATCCACGAATTTTGTTTTCTTCCTGTACTTGTATATATTGTTACAATATTACAGATTGTAATACAACAAGTCTTGTAATTAATATAAAAAAAGCGTTTATAAAGAAGTGTAACAATACGAAAAAAAAAAATATTTTGCTTGTACCTCTGCTTCAATCTTATCTCGAGGGATGGCGTAGTATGTACTATTATCCTCTTTAAAACTCTATCGTAGTTCATACTACATTTCTAGTTTCAGTTGGACCTCATAGGACAGTCGTGTAGTTTTATGCAGACTTGGAAACAAAAACATGTTTTAAGCCAACTGTTTCTATTGATAGAGTATTTACATTTATTGATAGAGTACTTTAAAAAAAAATCTTAAAACACGTTAATTTTAATTTTTGAATGGCCATCAATTGCTATACATGTGTATACATGTGTGTCGGTGTAACGACGTAATCGACGATTTTTTTAAATACAAACCGACGTCACGCGACAGCTCATTTGAAAGGTCTCTTTATCGCCTTTAGAACGATATATTCATTTGAATATTTATTTCTACAGGGTTCACCAAAATTATGAACTTTGTTAAGTAACATGGAGTTACAATAAATATTCATTCACAGTACTAAAATACACTCAGGAACGCCACTGGAAATAAAACAAAATACTGTTTTTTGCTGGTTCCGAAAAAAAATATAAAGATAACAAACAATGCTACATTATAATCTGAAATTAATTATTATAGTAAGTATTCATATAACAGAAACAGAGCGAATCGAGATTTTAATCATGATTGGTTATGGAGATAGAGTGAGGACTCGAGCAGAAGTTTAGCGGACTTAATGCTAAATACCCCAATCGCGAACCAATTACTCAATCAACAGTAAGTAAAATTGAAAAAAAAATAGAATAACTGGCCATGTTAAAGATCTTTCCAGAAGTGGTAGAAAATCAATATCCGAAGCCAAGAAACTGGACGTTGTACTGGCGTTTCAAGAAAATCCCCATACCAGTTCTAGGCAGGTCGCACTAGATAATAATATCCACCAATCCACTGTAGTAAGAGTGCTAAAAAAGAAGAAGTGACATCCATACAAAGTATATCTGGTCCAGGAGCTATTAGATGGCTTTGATAGAAGAATCGAATTCGGCAAAACCGTTATGAAAAAATGTAACAGAGATCAGGATTTCATACAAAAGGTACTTTTTTCTAATGAAGCGTATTTTATGCTGAACGGTCACGTAAATCGCCAGACATATCGATACTGGGCAAGTGAAAATCCACATTGGATGGAAGACGATAGGAAACAATATCCCGAGAAGGTGAATGTTTGGGCCGGCATTATAAACAATCAAATTGTAGGGTCATATTTTTTTGAGGAAAACTTCTACTTCTCGTTATCTAGAATTTCTTCAGGGGTATATGTTGCCACAGCCTTTTCCAAATAGAAATGATTTGTGGTACCAACATTAAGGGGCTCCCCCACACTACGGCGTTGAGGTATGAAATTACCTTAATAACGTTTTTCCAGGTAGGTGGATAGGTAGAAGGGGGCCCATCAAATGGCCAGCAAAGTCTCCAGATTTGACCCCGTTAGACTTTTTTTGTGGGGATATTTAAAGAGCAGAGTGTACCAAAATCGACCGAGTAATGTAGAAGGGTTGAAGGAACGTATCAGAACGGAAATTGCACAAATAACACCTGAAGTCATCGAAAACGTTAGGAAAGAATTTTTTGCCCATATTTCACATTGTATTATTGCTGAAGGTCGTCAATTTGAACATTTGTTTGTATTTTAATTGTAATTAAGTAAATATTTATTGTAATTTAATTGTATTAATAAACCAACACTTTTGGTTAACCCTGTAGAAATAAATATTCAAATGATTACATCGTTGCAAAGGCGATAAGGAGACCTTTCAAATGAGCTGTAGCGTGACATCGGTTTGTATTTAAAAAAATCGTCGATTACGTCATTACGCAAACACTAATGACGTAACGTCCAACACATATATAGCTCTTGATAACCATTCAAAAATTAAAATTGACGTGTTTAAGATTTTGTTTAAAGTCGTCTGTTTCTCAAATAATGAATTTATTCCATACATTTGCATCATACTGTATAATGACTGCATTACAAATCACTAACATAAATATTTAGTTATATCCCTAATATTTTAACCTTAGTTATTGCAACAGGTGTGTACAAGTAGATTCTTTGTTACAGATTTTGGAGAATGATATCATCTCAAGGAAAATATGTCTCAATTGCAGCAACACTGTTATTAAAATCCAGGAATTTAGAGAAATATCTATCAACTCTGACAGATATCTAAAGGTAATAATATATTAAATGATATAATATAGTATTTATGATAATATTGTAGTAATATTTTCCGCTTGTGCATTTCCCTTTCACGCCAAATGTTCCCCTTACGGTCGTTCAGAAAAAAGCATTTTTTAAATTTCCCTTTCGTCCGTTAATTATATTTACCTCACGATATTAGTTTTTGGATAAGTAGGTAGATAATAGGTAAAGAGCAGCGGAGCACGGAGCATCTGCTCCCTAATTTGCATACACCCGTCCCTAATTTGTATACACCTGTCCCTAATTAGCATGTGGCTCCCTTATTTGCATAAACCTGCCTGCTCTTTAATTTGCCTTTACCTTCCACCCCAAATATGCCACTGGAAAATGTTTTAAAAAGTAACCAACTCAATTAATAAAGTAAAATATCTCAAAAATCCCAATTGAATTACGCCAATGGCAATAATATATACAGTGTAGGTAAAAGTTTATGATAGGTATGGTAAAATTTAACAGGATATCTATCACAGATATAAAATCATATTTTCAGCGAATAGACAAAGATAACAATCATATTTCCCCTTGGTCTCCCCCCCATAAATCTTATTGACGCCCATTGCCCATTAGAGAGACGATTAGTTCCGATCAGAGATATTTTACATATTCTCTGGTTCCGATCTTAATATAGCTAAGAAACTAGAGGTGGGTCCTCTAGTTTTTTAAACTTTTATCGGAACAATTTTTCGTAAACTGTAACTAGTTGATTGTTTACCAGTATTCAAATTAGCGAGTACACAAACATATTGGCTATTATCGTTTATGTGTATAAGTATTGAAGTGAAAGAAACTAACGAAGGATATATTTATAACTAAATAAATAAAAAGGATGTATTATAACTTGAAAAACAAATTAAAAAAAAACATAAGTTTTCCACGTTTATTGTTCACCGTGTTCTTCTTTTATTTAAAATTAAACAAGAGTTTGAACATGTGTTCACAAGGAACAGATTTTGTTACAATACTACAATATTTTATGAATATAGTGGTTAAGTTAGGATATACATGGCGATGGTTTTTCCACCACGGTAATGGACAGTTCCAATCTTTGTTCGAAATTTTTTGTGGGTAATATATCATCAGACAAATACATGTCGACTTCTTTTATATCTCCCGATATAGGTGTATGTTTAGATGAGTCATGTCCAATTAATTCATCAAAAATACACCATGGACTTAAGTCATCTTTATCAGTTTCTTTTTCTTGTAATGGTTGATTTTCAAGATTTACTAAACTTATGCAAAGACTCGTTTCATCCGTTTTCCATAGTTGAAGAACGAGCTTTTAAAAAGTTTGCAGGGTGGATTCCTGGATATAAACCTCCAACAAAAAAAAAACTTTATCAGGTTCATTACTTCAGGAATGTTTTATCAAAACTGAGCAAATTATTAGATCACAAGTTGTTAAAAAAGTAGAAAATATCTGTATTACTGACCTCTGGACATTTGGAGTAACTGAGAGTTACATCGCATTAACAGGACAATATTTAACCGAAAATTTAGAATTTAAAACGGTTTTATTAGGCTGCTGGAAACCATAATTCAGAAAACATCGCTTCTGAAATTAGTGAAATTATTAATCAGTGGGGTCTAAAACGAAAAGTAAATTTTGCAGTAACTGATAATGCCTCAAATATGGTCAAAGATATTAAAGATTTTTTGGAATGAAAATAACAATATAACAAAGTTCCCAAACGGCCAATCCAAGACGTGGAAACTAGGTAGAACTTCACCTATTACATGTTAAAAAAAACTGACCTAGTTAGAAGAGGCAATCCATTCCACATCGGTATTAGTTAATACAGACTTAGGCTTAGACCAAAATAAAGAAATCTAAATAAAGAACACTGGATTATTTGTTCTCAACTTCTCCAAATTTTACGGCCGTTTAAAGAAATAACAAGTACAATGAGTGGCCATAAATACTTGAAGGGTAGTTCAGTGATTGTTATGGTACGCTGCCTGCAAAAATCTTGCAATAAAATTTTAGCAAACGGTAACCTTACATCCATAGTATCCGACGTAGTACAATTACTAATATCGAGTTTAGCAAAAAGATTTAGAGGGATAGAACAGAGTGGCACATTGTCATTATGTACATTTATGAATTTACGATTTAAAGTGCAGGCTTTTTCTGACAAAAATGAAGCTAAAGAAACAAAAGAAAGAGTTAAGAAGCTGGTTATTTCTATAATTAAAGTATATCCTAACTTATCCACTATATTCATAAAGTATTGTAAATGTGAACACATGTTTAAAATCTGGTTTAATTTTAAATAAAAACAGAACACGGTTAACAAGAAGTAAAGTAGAAAAACCTATGTTTTTAAATGTTAATTTAGACGATTCGCGATTTAATAATAACGTGTAATGTAAATGTAAGTACGATTTATTATTTGTATTGTTTAGTTTATTTTTCAAGTTATAATAAACATGAATATAAATATATCATTAGTTTCTTTCACTTCAATAAATATACACATAAACGATAATAGCCTTTATGTTTGTTTATGTAGGTACTCGCTTACTTGAAACTACTTTTAAACAATCATAGTTACTTGTTTACGAAAATCGGTTGAGTTGCGTTAAGAGCGTAGGCGGAAAATTTCAGGCCAATGCTTTTTAAATGCATTCATTTTTTTTGGAATCCTGAGAAAACTAACTAATATTTTTGAAAAATTTAAATGCAGAATGAAAGATTACATTATTACCGAGGGCCAAAAGTCCCTTAGAATGAACAAAAAGTTTTTTGAATGAGATATTTAAAATTAAAAATCACACTAAATTTTCTCTTTTTTTTTCACCCCTGTAACTTATTAAAATAAACAATATAGAAGTTTTTGGGGACTTTCGGCCCTTGGTAATAATGTATTGTTTCATTCTGCGTTTAAATTTTTCAAAAATATTTATTAGTTTTCTCAGGATTCGAAAAAAATGAATGCATTTAAAAAGCATTGGCACCGATATTTTGCGCCTACGCTCTTAACGATAAAAACGTCAACGAGTTACAACGACCCACCTCTACTACTCGTTACCCTACTTTGATTCGGTGCTTTGATCAGACAGACGTTGCCAAATTATCATTGTGTATAAAGATTTTTTAATGTGGCGTTATTGTACGCAGTTTATTATTTCATATTGGGAATAAGGCACAATGTGACTTTAAAATAAGCTTATTTTGATGTTTAGATTTTTAATTCAGAAATCGTACTTAAAATACGAAACATTAATAAATTTTATTTATATAAAACGATTTCCGAAGTGGAAATCCAAATGTTATATTACACTTATTGTAAAGTAAACTTGTGGCATATTTCCAATAAAAAACAGTAAGCTGCCATTTAAATCCATTTCGCCCAAATTTGATTATCTTAGAACATTGTTCAAATGCTAAAAAGAAAACAGGTCAAATAAAACCAATAAGTTTGGTAACGTTGAACTTCCCCTTTTTTTTATTGTACCTTCCCCCTCTCTTTTTAAAACAGGTGTTTCTCGCTAGATCTCACGTAAGGTCCATACCGACCATAAACTTTTACCTATACGGTATATATAATGTATACTTGGGACAATTAATTACTGCAGTTATATTCAAATCGAAGATGCCAATCTACCTGAATAAAAAAGCATTTGATCAGTATATACTATCATCATGACATACGGTCGCGAAACTTGGACAGACATGAAAGAGATATTATCGAAACTGAAAGTCACTCAAAGGTCAATGAAGCGATGCATGCTAGGTATAACAAAGAGGGATCGAAAAAGAATATAATGGATCAGACAGAAAACCAAGGTTATTGATGTCATCCATAGAATTAAATCTTTAAAATGGCAGTGGGTGGGACATTTAACGAGAAGAACTGACAATAGGTGGTCCACTAGAATTACGCTGAACCAAGAGGCGTCAAGACACCAAGAAGACGTCCAAATTTAAGATGGAACTACGACATAAGGAAATAAGCCGGTTCAATATGGCACAGAAAAGGGAATTTTGGACAATCGTGGGCAGATATTAGAAATAAACCGTACTTAAAACCAGATATGTGTTTAAGCCAGTTTAACAATTTTACGAGATTTTACGAAATAACAGGAAACATATATTTTAAAGTAAAGTAGTTAGCATAAGTCATTGAATTAGATCACATTATAGTACAGTAAAAGAAAAATATTAAATGTAAAAATATGAAAATAAATACCACATACTTTCGCTAATATTCTCCCGCTCCAAAAACGAATGTTTTTAAGAACGGCTGAAAGTATAAGTATAAAGAATAGACATGAAAAAATGGATGTACTAATAAAGAACTAAATAAAAATAAAATATGAATTGACAAATAAGCGGCGATCATATTTTGACCACAGGACATTGTTGGATGCCATCTGAAATTGTGCTCAGATTGACAACGCGTACAATGCCATCAATTAGAAAAGAATAGCGTCGGATCAGTAGAATTTTTCGACCTACTAAACTAGAAAGACTGTGTCAAACACAATACCGTTGGCTCTTTTTCCTATAAGAATTCCGTGGTGTGCGAAAAAACAAGAAGAAGAACACCGTCGAAATCTTAGCGCGGTGTCGCATTTCAGAAGAAAGTCTTCAATGACAGCCGGGAAGTAATGATATTTCGACGAGCGCTACGGTAAATGCCAGTTTGGTGAAAACTGTAATAATTGTGCTGGTGATAAAACACGACCAACACAATCAGAGAGGTGTTGATTAGAAGGCATATAATACCGAGTAGAGTGTGGTATCAGTTCTTGTATGTGTTTAATATGATTGACAATTTATGGGTAGAAAAATAAGCTCAAGGGTGCGCAACCGTCGAGTCAGATCAAATATCGGAAGATCGGAAGGAGAATCCTTTGACAAAGGAGACTAGATCAGCCAGATATATGGCTGCCAAGAGTTTCAATTTTGTCGAGACCGAGCGAGCATGAAAATTTGACGAGACTCGTTGACAAAGGTGACTCGA